GGGGGGCTGCAGTGATGGTTGACTTTCTACAACTTTCTCCCATCTCCCGACTGCATCTCTGGAGCTCAGCCACAGTCATCTTTGGGTTCTTCTGTACCTCTCTCACCAAGGCTCTTCTCCCCTGATAGCTCAGTTTGGCCGGACGGCCAGCTCTAGGAAGGGTTCTGGTCGTCCTAAACGTCTTCCATTTAAGGATTATGGAGGCCACTGTGCTCTTTGGAACCTTAAGTGCAGCAGAAATTTTTTTTTTAACCTTGGCCAGATCTGTGCCTTGCCACAATTCTGTCTGTGAGCTCTTCAGGCAGTTCCTTTGACCTCATGATTCTCATTTGCTCTGACATGCACTGTGAGCTGTAGGGTCTTATATAGACAGGTGTGTGGCTTTCCTAATCACGTCCAATCAGTATAATCAAACACAGCTGGACTCAAATGAAGGTGTAGAACCATCTCAGGGATGATCACAAGAAATGGACAGCACCTAAGTTAAATATATAAGTGTCACAGCAACGGGTCTGAATACTTATGACCATGTGATATTTCAGTTTTTCTTTTTTAATAAATCTGCAAAAATGTCAAAAATTCTGTGTTTTTTTGTCAATATGGGGTGCTGTGTGTACATTAATGAGGAAAAATGAACTTAAATGATTTTAGCATATGGCTGCAATATAACAAAGAGTGAAAAATTTAAGGGGGTCTGAATAATTTCCGTACCCACTGTAAAGCCTCAAGAAAGATTTCATTCCCAACCAAATGGAACTGGTGCTCGACAGGAAGAATTTCTTGAGAGCAGTCACACGACAAAGCTGATTTTGTTCGGACAAAGCTCAAAGACGCTTTTCACTGCTTCATTCCAAACTCAGTGCACTGTATGCTGGCATAGTTTTCATAGCAAATCAACAATGCAGCTTGAATGAAAGTGTGAAAGAAGGATGACAGTAAGATCCTTCAGACTGAAAAACCAACAGCACAAGTCAGCCAATACAGTGATTCACAAAGAAGTGAAGTTTTTTTGAATTCAGGTTAACACAGCTGATGTTGTATGCAGATAGTGATCAATATCATGTCAGAAACATGTCTTGTACAGTGTTTACTCAAAATCATAAGTGGGAAAATGCTATATTTATGCCAGAAGACACTGAGAGCTTCGAAGCCAAAAGTAGACTGTGCTATGTCCTGGAGGTAAAAGTGGCAGGTGCAGCGCTCCTTGTGGGAAGAGATTAGAGAGAAAAAGCAGACTTTCTCTGAGCACTCTTTGCTTCTCCAACAGCCCCTGCAGCGCTAACAAACCTAGATTTGTCTACTGCCCAGCCCTCTCGGGAAGGATACATTTCATTAACTATTCAGTCATTGGCGAGGGAAGCACAAGTGACTCAGGCGTGACACTAGTAACAAAATTGGTGCTTTCATCACAGACTGTGCTGGCTTCATTGCATAGAGGACAATGTTTGGCTTGTTTTAGGGATATCCCCCTCAGTCTTCCTCAGAAAGTCAGTAATGGCATAATTAGAGTTTTTTTTGCATCATATTAAGGATATCTTTTAATCAGTGATGGATGTTCGTGCATATACTTGGTATATCAGTTTCTTTGCAAGTTAGCAACTCTTTTTTTCAGGCTTCATCAGCATCACCATCTTCAGCTTTTGATCATTACCTGACATTTGGACACATCACTGTGGGCACTTTCAGCATGAACACAAGTGCCAGGACTATAGTAAGGGGTTGGACTGTTGGATTATTGTCAGAAGCTCTTTCCAAACATTTTACCAGACTACAGATTAAATATTTAATATGAAAACACTAAACTGCAAAAACCATGGCAAAACAGAACGTGGAAGGCAGAAAGATTCAAGATTTTTATTCACCATTTATGCATAAACACACAGTCTAGGCATATAGGAATTCTTGTGGAGGCCTCTCCTGGAGTCAAGTAAAGTTTAAATCGAAAAGAACGAACGCCTAGTCTAAATATAAGATCACCCAAGAATACAAAATGGTTGATACAGGAATAAGATAGCAGGTAAAATAGGAAGTTTCAGATATTGCACATAGTGGAATTGTATATGGTCTTCTACTTAGCAAGGTAATGAGGGGTCATTGCACAGGTTTTTCATATTTTGCATTTGCTATCAGTCTTACTGTGGCAGGGAAAAAGCTGCTGCAAAATCTTGTTCTGTGTGTGATACTGTCCGCTCTGCTGTGCCTGAGGTTGTGGGTGCAGTTTTTGTGTCTGAGCAAAGTGTGAGCTGGGTGGACTGGGTCTCTGATTATGTTCTCTGCTCTTTTATGACAGCACCGTGTGTACAGTGTGTCCATAGAAGGCAGCTCAGTCCCAATGATCCTCTCTGCAGTCCTTATGACCCTTTGAAGAGCCTTCCTCTCTGCCTGTGTGATGTTACCATACCAGACTGTGATGCCAGTAGTGAGGATGTTCTCTACCAGTCCTCTATAAGCCTGGGTGAGAGGGCGATGGTCCAACCAGCTTTTCTGAGCCGCTTGATGAAGTACAGCCGCTGCTGGGCTTTCTTCACTGTAGCAGCTGTGTTTAGCAGCCAGCTCAGGTCAGATGTCACCTGAAGGCCCAGGAACTTGTCAGCCCTCTACACCTCAGACACTTTGATGGTCAGAGGCAGCAGAGAGGTGGGGTTCTTCCTGAAGTCTACTATTATTTCGTCTTGGTTATGTTGAGGATGAGGTCATTCTTTACATAAACCAGGATGTCTTTCACCAAGCTTCTGTAGCCCGACTCGTCTCTCCCCCCTTGATGAAGCCCAGGATGGTGGTGTCATCAGCATATTTAATGATGATGGTGTTGTCATGGTTGGGGAGAGAGTTGTGGGTGTACAGAGTGAAGAGTTTGGGGCTGAGACAGCAGCCCTGTGGTGATCCTGTGCTGACTGTGATCTCTGCAGACACCCGCCCTCCCATTCTGACCACCTGTGGTCTTTCAGTCAGGAAGTCCAAAATCCAGTTACAGGTGGGAGTCGGGACATCGAGGTCTGTCAGCTTCTCAATCAGCAAATGGTGTTGAATGCAGAACTATAATCCAGGAAGAGCATCCTAACATATGTTCCGCTGTTGTACAGGTGTGTCAGGGTGTGGAATAAAGCCAGAGCTACTGCGTCATCCACTGATCTACTGGGGCAGTAGGCAAACTGGAGGGGGTCTATGGTGTCTGGAACCTCTATGGTGTCTGGAACCATGTGGTTAATGTGTGTGAGGACCAGTTTCTCTAAGCACTTCATGGCGACTGATTTGAGCACCACTGGCCTGAAGTCATTCAGAGTGGATGTGTCTGATGTCTTAGGGACCGGTACGATGATGGATTTTTTGAAAATGTGAGGGACTACTGCTTGGGTTAAAGACAGGTTGAAGATGTCTGTGTACACACTAGCTAGTTGATCCCCACAGGCAGTCAGATCTCTAGGGGAGACATCTGATCCCACAGCCTTATGGCGGATTCACCGGTTTCAGGGCCTTCAGAACCTGTGTGCGTTACCTGATAAGCAGTGTCCCCCAGGGCACAGGGGGATTTTGAGGGATATCCATGTTCAGCTTGTCAAACCTAGCATAGAATTTATTAAGGCTGTCTGGGAGGGTAATGTCATGGGAAACTGTGATCGTTGATTTGTTCCGGTACTTTGTGAGTGTCTGGATTCCCTGCCACATGCTGCGTGTGTTGCTATTCAGGTAACAGCTCTCCAGTTTTTGGAAGCATGCCCTCTTTGCAGATCTAATAGACCTCTGTAGCTCATACCAGGCTCTCCTGTACTCCCCTTGGTCCCCTGCCTTGAAAGCTTCCCGCCTCTTCCTGATTTTCTGTTTTAGGTCAACATATAACCAGGGTTTTTGGTTGGGGAAGATATGCACAGTTCTGGGTGGGGCACATATGGATGTGCACCAACTGATGTAAATATTCACAGTCTCTGCATATTCATGGATATTGTCTGTGCCCCCTTGGAAGATGTTCCAGTCTGTGGCCTCTAGACAGCCCTGCAGGCTGGCCTGTGCACAGTCAGTCCAGGTGTTAACAGTTTTCATTGTGACTGGTTTCGCCTTGAGCCATTTGGTGTACCAAAATGAGGCTTAGGTTCTGCTGAGAAGGCATTTCTAATGTTACTTTAACATTGGTCCAGTGCTTTGTTTCCTCTAGGTCAAAGTGTTTGTCATATGCACAGTT